TTTCGTTTTGAAAATATTTATTGAATGCACAAACCCCAAGTCAGCATGGTCACTGTATGCAAAGTACGAGTGTGTGATCTTCACGACTTGTACAAAACTTGAAATCGATATTAAAAAGTTGTATTAAATTTTCGTTTTATCTGCAGAAAGGGTGGGCGAGTGGGTGGGGGCTGAAAAATACTAAATCTTTTCGTTTTGAACAAAGAAAACAATGGTCAAACCCCGCACCTCAACGAGAGAGTTGGAAAGTTCAGAGCCCTCGCTATGCTATATTTTTCACCTGGGTCAACGTGCGTGTTATTCCAACTGATAGAAACCGTCTTTGAAAATACGATTATCGGGTATTAATTTTGTTTTTTTTGTATTGCAAAGATCATAGAAAGATGTTTCCATCAATTCATTCTATTTGATGCGAAATAAAGAGGTGTGGACCCTAGCTAGCGCCAGACCCTACTATAGTAACGTCTTTTGCATTCGGGAATTCAATTATTTTATCCTATTTGGTCACTGCCTTGCATGCAATCTTTACCCTTGTCACACCAAGTGTATCTTTTTGGAAACTATTCGTTTACCACGTAGCTCAACATCATTTCAATCATTATCCCCTTACTTGAATCTATCCGGCCCGAGCAAACCTGTGGGTGGACCTAATGGATCCACCGACTTGAACGCGGCAGTGCTATAATACTAAAATCCATCTTGTTCATCATGAATTCATGATCATACTTTTTAATCTTTCATTCTCTCCAGCAATCGCGTGCAAAGACCCAGGAGCTCCAGTCAATGGTACACGCTTGTTGAATAGCCAGCAACTCACCATCCACTTTACGTGCAACACCGGTTTTGCGCTCAACGGTTCTGCTACAAGTCGCTGCACCGTGATCGGATGGCAGCCGGAGCGACCTCTCTGTAAACGTGAGTTTGTCATGGGAAATGTTGAAAGTGCTTGCGTATTTGTACTCGTTCATTGCATGTCAGTGGTCAGCTAAAAATTCAGCACTTTTTTCCAAAAAATATTTGTATATGTGTCGCCCCAAAATGGCAACAGCTATTGAATAGCATCGTTGCTGTTTCAACCGAATAGACCCTGGCACTTCCACTATCAGCCCATACAAGCACTGTTCTTTGCTCCAAATTTGTTTGCGCGAGCATCAGCATGCACACCCAGCTCCATCACACACGGCAGCCACTTTGAACATGCGCTGAATGCAGACCTACTGCACAGGACCTCTGGCCATAGCTAGATAATGGCGCCGTGCGCCTTGGAAGTAAGCCAGCGCTGTAGCCTGAACTTATTGTCAGCAGTACATAAGATTAAGGCAGAAAACTAGGGCAATGGCAGTTTCAGCATTTGCTAGACTTCAGGACCTGTGCATTCCTACAGTACAACCTGTCTAAGGCGACCGCACAAGGGACCTTACAAATGTGGTCTCTGTTACCAGGTGGTCTCCTTATCCAGGGTCGTTTGACTGCAAATAGCATCCCGTGGTCCTGGTTACAGTGGTCTTCTGGGGCAGGTGGTCGCCTTATCCGAGTGGTCGCCTTGACAGGTTTTACTGTACTTCAGTTTTGAAGTACAAAAAACTCGCCAAGCGAAGAGTTATAGGCATATAGACCAGAGCAGCGTAAGTCACATGACCACAGTCTGCAGCACACACACTACAGCGGATAACGGCAGTACTTTCAGTGGGGTCTCAAAGGGTTAATTAAGTTAAGAAGAGAGTTGACCAGAGCATCACGACTACAGTCTGCAGAACACACACTACAGCGGATAACGGCAGCGCACACTTGTTGTTGTTGTTGTTTATTTTACTTCACCAAATGAACAGGCAGAGATGCATTCTCACCTGCCCATAGGACAGGTTCTCACAGAATGATGAAAGGAAGACAGTTGACCGGGGTGGGTGAGTGGGTGGGTGGGTGGGCAGCTGCACACTTGGCAAGAAGAAAAAACAATGATCTGCAGAATCACAGCAACAGCGCGTTCAGCCACAGCACACTGCCCTCGTACCCGTTCCATACGCATGTGCAAAAAATATGTTAACAGAGAACTAGACACCTCGCTTCTTTCGCTTCGCTCGGCCAACGAGAAATGAACATCTCTTTTAGTTGTTGTTGTAAGTTGGCAGTGGTGGGTTCCCCTCAGATCTGTATGGTATTATGACGCAAAGATCTGATTACGCTCGACCAAGACCCTATGCAGAGCTGGATCAGGCGTTGCACACTCTCGGGGGTTATGTACTCTTGATGGCATGTGACCATTGTATGTTATGTGATGACGACCTGGAATTACATGTGATGTGATGCTTGAAATAGTGCATGCACTTCGGTCATGTTATCCGATATGCGCTGTAGTGTGTGCGCATAGAGTTTACATTTGTATGTGCGTGTGTGTGTGTGTGTGTGTGTGTGCGTGTTTGTGCGTGTGTGTGTGTGTGTGTGTGTGTGTGTGTGTGTGCGCGCGCGCATATGTGCACGTGTATGTGTATGATTGTATGTG